TTGACAGGTTTTCGATGAAAGACTCTAAGAGAGGATTTCTGCCCATGTCTCATGGCATTACGCTCAGTAAATCTCGGTGCCCTAAAACGCCAGAAGAGATGAGATGTATTGTTGATAAACCTTATTCTTTGGCAATAGGGTCAATAATGTATGCCATGATATTTACAAGGTCGGATGTTGCATATGCTCTAAGTATGTGTAGCGGATTTCAGGCAAATCCAAGTGAAGCACACTAGACAGATGCAAAGAACATCCTTAAGTACTTGAAAAGGACTAAATGAATGTTTCTAGTGTATAGCGGAGAAGATGAGTTCGTAGTCAAGGGATATACGGATACGAGTTTCCAAACATACATAGATGACTTAAAATCCCAATTAGGGTACATTTTCTGTCTGAATGGAGGAGCAGTAAGCTGGAAGAGTTCGAATGAAAGCACTGTCACAGACGCTATGACATAATCAGAGTATTTGGCTGCCATTGAAGCAGCTGAGGAAGCAGTTTGGATTAAGAAATTCTTCACATAGTTTGACATTGTACCAAGTACGTGCTTAGGAAGGAATTGAGTTGTATTTATTGTGACAACAATGGTTCCATTGCTCAATCAAAGGAGCCAAGGTCACACTTCAAATCCAAACATGTTGAGAGGAAGTATCATCTCAATCGAGAGATCGTTTGCAGAGGAGATGTCAAGATGTGAAAGTTCATACGGATAAGAACATTACTGATCCACTTATTAAACCCCTTTTGCAGCCCAAGCATGAGAGTCATGCTAGAGCTACAGGATTGAAGCTAATGATGTAATTTAAGTTGTATTTGTTTTTGAGAAAAACTTATTACATATGTAATACATTCATTTGCAGAATTAAGTTTAATTAGAAATTTATTATTTATCTTATTTAATTATGGTTTTAATGTTAAATAAAATGTCCAAAATAATCATGGATTTATGGGCTCATCAGGTTGATAACCTGGTGAATGAAACCCCACAGATGAAAAAAATCCATTTATTTATTCAAGTTCCTAGTTCGAAATCATTAAATTGGACATAAATGATTTCATTAAATGGACTAGCATGTAAGATTGATTAGATAGCGCAGTTTCATGGGCTATACGGCATAGTGATAATGCTTGGTCAATCACCCATGGATATGAATGAATGATGCATGATCAAACTATAGACCTACTCTAAAGTTCAAATATAGAGCTTCCTGATATATTAGTGAATTCTTTTGACATGAGTGGAACATTGACTCCATTCAATAATTGTCTTAACTGTGGTACATTCAAACGTCATGTTATAAAAGGGGGCTACAAAGGACGTTTCCCGGTTACTTCAAGAATTGAGTGGGAGCTTTGGTTTCACAAGATTGGATAGAGTCTACCTATTTAATTAGGAATGTTTCTTGGCCTCTTGAAGAAGGAGAATTCAGAAAATGCATGGTCGTGCTTAAATGGATTACACAATAATCATTTGTTTGGTAATTCTAACTCAGATTTCAAGAAAAGATTTGTAGATTAATATGATCACGACATGAGATGAAATCATATTATCAAATGGACGCACATTCACTTAAGGAATTCGAATATTGCGTGCTTGTCTCAGACAAGTGGGAGATTGAAGGAATTATGTCTTCGATAAGTGCAATTACTAGATATATCAAGGATCACTATTATGGAGATAATTAGTTCATTCTATAGGGTCGTCATTGTCTGGTGCTAGATATGGAAAATGATCTTTGGGATAGTTAAATAGTCCAAAACCCAATAGAATGGGTCCTATAAGGTCACACAACAAGGGTATTGGGTCAAACAAGTAAGAGACACATTCATAGGCCTCATGAGATCATGACATACCATATGGAGTGATGGGATAGAGTATTGATTAGGACAAAGAGTTTGGGCTTGAAATGAACTCTTACTTATAGATATTATCAATAAATAAGATCCATGACTTTGATTGAAATAAAAATTCACAAGTCAGTTAATTGTAACTCAAGCAACCAAGTCCTAAACCCTAATCCCTCTCTCACTCTCACGGCCCTCCCCTCCCCTCCCTCTCCCTATCAGTAAGGTCTGCCACCCCCTTGGTGGCTCGTGGTGTTCGTGGTGGTGGATTGTGGTTAGTTAGTGTCTCTCTTTTCTCTATTGAAGGTTGATTAAAGCGTTCAATCACAACTAACTAGCATTAGTGGAGGTTTAATCTGTGCCCGTGGACTAAGTAGAGGAATCACACTTGGGGTTCTATATCTCTCGTTGTTCTTGCTCGATTGCACGTGGATTCACGCTTCAAATGTATTATTATTTTTTCTTTATGTGTTATGAATTGATCTTAGTGTTTAGATGATCATGAATGTGATTCATGTAATTGTGCTTATAGTATTTAATGTCCTACAAATAAATCAGTGAATTTATTCTGATTCTAAGTGCCCGAGTGTAGGGAATATTTCAAACACCCAACTTTGATCCTCACTGTGATCATACATTTAAGCATGACAACAGCATTTCGTAGTTTATGAACGTCCTCTTTAAGACTTGATGCGTTTTCCCCGGTATCTCCTAAAAAAACTTCTTCTTCATTGGTCATTATTATGAACCTTTTTCTTTGTCAAATCGATTTATCAAAGAGTAATACTTGAACAAAAGTATTGTCCTTGATTAGACGCCATTCTCTCCTTGGCTAAGTGTTGTGGAAGGGGAAGTAATGGATACTTATTGTTAATTATTGGGAAATTCTCTTTGGTAAACCTCTAATTTTTATTATTATCAATGGTAAATTGTAAAAAAAAGTTATTATCCTTGGTGAACTATATTTTAAAAAATTAAGTCATTGGTAACATTACTAATTGTAATTAGGATTTTAAGCCTAACCATGGATAACTACTGACCTAATAACAAATTTACTCTATTAACAAATCTGATTTCCCTCTAAATTGATTTCCTCATCCTTATATATCCCTAATCAATTTCCCCCACTACAAAAAAAATGAGAATAGGCAACACTTAAGATTGCAACACTTACATAAATGTTACTCTTAATAATCTAACGCAACAATACTTATTTGTTACCTTGAACTAAAGTAACAGAAAAAAAAAAAAAAAAGTGTTGCTCTAGAATATATAAGACAACAGTTGCTTAAAGTGTTACTTTTTTCTTGTCTAAGACAACAAATATAATAATTGTTGCATGAAAAGATAACAATAACAAAACTATTGTTTGAAAAATGTAACATTAATATCTATGTTGCCATCTATAGAAACATTTATATTAAAATAACAACATATACATATACATATACATATACATATACATATATATATATATACATATATATATATATATATATATATATATATATGTATATATATATACATACGTATATATATATACATACGTATATATATACGTACGTATATATATACGTATGTATATATATACGTATGTATATATATATACATATGTTTATATATATACATATGTATATATATATATATATATATATATATATATATATATATATATATATATATATATATATATATATATATATAAGCAAGTTTGGTAGAGTTGGTGGGAAACTCACCTTGTGACTCTGAGGTCACAAGTTCGAGCCCTACCAACTACTAAATGCTTGGGAGTGACAACATTTTTGAATTATCTTCTTATATGGCAACATTTTTCATTTGTTGTCTTTGTTAAAGTGTTGTCTTATGTATCATTTTACCTAAGCTTTCAAAATTGTTGCCTTTGAATAACAATGTGTTGCCTTATGAATAGACAACGGGGGCATAAATTACGCCTCATATGTGTTGTCTTAGCTACAAGGAAATACTTTTTTTATATTAGGCAATGGTTTTGCATTGTTACCTTTGCTTTATTTTGTTGTAGTGCCCCTTTTATTCAAACCCTAATTTCACGATTTCCCCCTTTTATTCAAACCCTAATTTCACGAATTTCCCCAAATTCTCTTTGATATCATGAAGAACAGTCAGATTTCTCTAAGCCAATCACCATGGACAATCGAATTGCTAGGGTCAAGCATATGCGCTGCAATTGTGTACCCCCCCCCCCCCCCAAGTTGTTGCAGTGATGGTTTAAGAGACCACAAAGAACCCTAGAAGACTATTTGTCAGTGCAGGGCATGCGATTTTTTTTTGTTGGTTGAAGGAGCAGGACATAATCGGGGTTGGCGGTGAATTGGAGGTTGAACAAGGTTCTCTTGTTGCTGTTAATTCAAGGCTGGATGAATTGCTAAACTTCATTAAATTAATTGTGAATATGGCTTTATTTATGTATTTTGTAATGTTATTTTTTGTTACAATATGATGAATTAGATTGGGATTAGTATGGTGAAGTAGAATGTTGATGTCGATGGGAATGTATTAGGGGTATGAATTAAAACTGATGTACGTTGTTATGCAAATGGTTGAATAAAATTAGTATTACTACTTTTGTGCACAATGTATGAGTTTTTGCAATGTCTTTACTTAATAATAATTCTTTATATTTCATTGAGAATTGTCAAAAGCAAAAGATTACATTAATCCAAGTTGTCCAAAAACATACACTATATGACTGTGTGACACATACAGTTAACTTATAAGCAAAATAACTGGCTTAGCATTCTCAAAATACATGCACTGTTTTGAACAAATTTCCCTAAGACACTAAAATGCAGGCTGTGATGCTGAAACACCTCCTTTAGCTTTCCTTGTCCTTGGTGAGACTCTTAATGGTTGTGAAGATGATGCCACTTTTGTTGGTTGTGGTTGGCTCATTGATACACCTTTTCTCTGCTTTTTTTGTTGCTTTTCTATGGGCTGAGTAGTTAAGCTTTCACCTAAGGCAAACTTGTCTTTTCCTGTCAAGCCACCTTGGCATATCTGTGAGTTATGCCCAAATTGTTGGCATTTTCCACACCTTATAGTCCTGGACCTCTTCCATTTTGCTTGCTCGCCCTTTTCCCTCCTCTTGTTCCTAGAAAGCCTGCCTATACCTCTTTTCATTGCTGGTGGGCAATATCTAGATAATTGCTTTCAGGCCATTGCTCCACATCCGGTATGGCCTTGATAGAGTTGGCATAAGCCAGTTTGTACCTGCTGGCAGAGTACCACTCACTAATGTAGGCCCTAGGGTCTTGATTGTCATACAATATTGCCCTCATAGCATGTTTGCATGGCAATCCAGACAGTTGCCAAGCATTACACACACTTCCCCTTAGGTTGACAGGAAGCACAGACTTTCCATCAAGCACTTCAAATTCTCCATCTCCAGATTTCAAACACTTGCATGTCCTTGATTCATGGCTAATCACTTGCAGCCTTTTCATGATGTTAGGGCAAACATCATCTCTCCGGCTCTCACATGCTTCCCTTCTGGTTGCCATTCTAACCATAGTTAGTCTTCTAATACCTGCAGTACAATTTTATGCCATCAAATTAGCTGTAGTTCTTTCTTAATTACTCTAACACTAAATCTTAAAATTAGGTAGGCCTAGTGAATTACCTTCAAGAAAAGTTAGTACTGGTCTGAATCTATCAATGCCCATGGTGTCATTAAAGCTTTCAACAAAGTTAGATTTTTTGCTAACTTGCTATCACACTTCACAATTGGATTAAAGGCATGCTTTGACCATCTTGATTGTGGTCCAAACTTTGAGAGCCAAACTAGAGCTAGGGGATTGGCCTTTTGCAATGCCTTCATTGCCTTTTTGAATGTGAATGGATTGTATGCTCCAGCAGCCTTCCAGAATAGTTGAAACATCAATAAACCAGGAAATTCCTTCTTAAAATTCTTAACCAAGTGCTTGCAACAGAACCTTCTGCCCACTTTAAGCCAAATTTCAGAAATTGCAAGATCAATACCCTGCACAAATGAACATCATGTGTTAGGTTTACATTGCATAGTGTACTATAATTAAAGTAACTTATAATATAGCATAACCAATATACCTTTTGCCTATCACTAATGATGCACCAATCATCACCCCTGCCACTTGGTTGTAGAGCATTTTTCAAGTGATATATGAAGAAATTCCAGTGTAGGGAATAATTTCAAGCGTTAACCCCTAGCTTGAACCCCACTGTGATCATACACTGAAGTACGGTGGCGTCCAAAAGGGAAAAAGATAGAGCAAAAGAGTCTCCAACAAGTTTTTTAGGAACTTGTAAACCGTCCACGAGGTGAAGGTTACAACCCTTAACGATCCAAGAGATCGTCAACTCCATAAGGTCTAGAACCAAATAAGGGTTCGGGGATGAAGGTACAAAACCAACCTAAAAGAGATTGAACCTGCCCTAATAATAGGCCTCTACTTTATTCTGATCGTATTCATGTGCGTTTCTTGACTAACATGCAATCAATAGGATTAACCCTAAACCTGTTTATCTATGTTGGTTGAATTAAATGCACAAATAAATCTATTATTAACGATCACTTGAAATTACAATCAAATTAAACCTAACAAGATTATTAATTATCTTATTAAGCATGATTACAAGTACAAATTCCCTTTAAACATGCATAAAAGGCGTGATCAAGCAATAACAATAAAAATCAAGCAACATAATAAATAATCATCATAATAATAATCATGAATAATAATTATATCATCATAAATAAAATAATCATCATCAAAATAATAATAATAATAATAATAATAATATTCATAATCATCATAAATTATAACAATTATAATCATAATCATGTTCATGTTAATATTAAAGCATAATAAAAATAGCAAGATCCTAGGCATGATACTAACAAGATTAATAACAAACCCTAGCATGTCACTAAGCAATAAAAATCAAATCTTTAACCCTAACATGATACTAACAATCATAAATATTAGGAAGAGAGTAAGAAACATCACAGGAATCATAATAAGCATACTTGATATTATAACCTTTTCCCTAAACATGATACCAGGAATATCATAATAACAATATAAACACATCATAATATCAATTAATCATTAAAGTACTTACTTTGATGCCTCGTACCTCTTTCTAATAACAAAATACACACGTTAGTAACTTCAAGGAAAATAATAAACAAAACAATTAAATTAAAAAATTGAAATAGAGATTTGGGACCAAACCCTCAGAAATTAAACCTTTCACGTCTAGGGAGAAGACAACTTCGAATATAGCTAGGTGTTTCTAGATCTTGCGAATGCGGAATTTTTTATTTGAGAAAAGGCTAGTTTAGAAAAAGAGAGAGAGAGAGAGAGAGAGAATAATCAAGAAAATCTTGATGAGAGTTGGTGAATGAAAACGAAGTTTTTACGACGTTATTTATAAAGAAAATCAGCCAAAAAGATAAAATTAACAAAACAGAGCATTGGCGCAACTGAAACAGAGCTGGCGCCAACATTAGGCTATTGGCGCCAAGCGCCAACACTAGCGCCAAGCGCCAATTCTGGCGCCAGGCGCTATAGCTGGCGTTTGGCGCTGATTTCAGAAATTCACGCGTTTTTGTTTTTATCATATCTTTTGATCCGGAAGTTCAAATAAGGCATATAATATGTCGTTGGTAATCTCTTAAAGTCTACTTTCCAACCCAATTAGAATCAGGTTAAAATAATTTGTAGATAAAAAGATATGGCCAAAATAGTGGAAGGGTATCAGTTTTGGATAAAGTTTCATGTCTCATTCATATCTTTTTCGTTATAACTCAGATTTAATATTATAATATATCATTGGAAAGATAATTTCAAGATCTATCCAACCATATAAAATTTGGATAAATATTATGAGGCACGTAAATAAAATCTGAATATATTCCACTTCGTACAAAACAAGGATTCTTAAAATGAGTAGTTTTATTCAATGTCAAACTCTTTAAAACATAATTATCAATCCTAACTCCATTAGGATTTAAAAGAACCTCCTAGAGTATTCTAAAAGAAAATAATCAATCCTAATAGCTTAAGGAATGATAATTAATAATAGGCCCTCCTCTAGATCATTGGGCCGCATATAAAAACCAAATCGGGCCCAGTTTAGTATTTTGGCCATAACTTCCTCGATATTTATCGGAATTGGGCTTATAATATATCGTTGGAAAGGTCTTTTCAAACCCCATACAACTACACCATTATTGGATCCTTATCATGGACCAACCAAACTGGATTAAGTTTTCAAAACAGAGAGAAGAGAAAAGAATTAAAACTATCCGCAACACCAGACTTTCCACACTTTCACTTCATTCGATTATGATTCGACGCGAAAGGTACTTATCACTGGGTTTGGTTTTGGGGAGACACAAATGGGTGTCTACATCTAGCTAGTAGTATCTTCTGCTCCAACTATTGCCCAAGTTATAGGAAATATTTCATTATTGAGCAACTGCAGAAAGTAAGACCCCACCATAGTTTCCCTTTAGATCAGATCCATCTACACCAATCAGACTTCTGCACTCAGCACTCAACTCATCAAGCACATCTTTAAATGCAGTGAAGATGGATCTGAACATCATAGGTCTGTTGGGACCAACATTGTTCCATGCACAGAAAGCTAATGAGTTAGGGTTTAGCTCCTTGATAACATCATAGTATCTAGGCAATTCCTTGTAGGAAACATCATGGCCTCCATGAATTTCCACTAAAGTCTTTGTCCTTACCCTATACAAGGTGGTTTGTGCCTTGGTAACTCCATATCTTTTCCATAACAATTGATTCAGAGCCTTGGCCGGAACATCATTGTTTGCCCTGATGTCTTCAAGTAAAACCCTCATTGCCCACTTAACATTCACCATGTTGTTTCTTGTCTCAAGTCCTTGACAAGTATGCTCTAGGCTTTGTATGCTTTTGATTGCCCAAGTTGTACCATCTGGAAACACTGATGCATGCAATCTCCACCCACATTTCACATCTGAGCACCTTGAACATTATCTCTTGTTGCTGGCAAAGTCAATAACCACTGCAAATCCACACTAAATGCACTAATCCTTCACCACATCCTTGAGGTTTTGTTAATCCATGAACAGCTGCCAGGCTTCAAACTATTTTCCCAAATCCCTCATCCTTATAAACTTCTCCATTGTTGTACAACTTGGTTAGATAATTGTCCTGTTCATTTTCACACTCAAACTTCTCATCTTCAAAAGGATCATAGTTGTCTTCAAACATAGGCCCATACTCATCCTTAGGCAAGTCTTCTTCATCCTCTAAACTCAACTCATCTGACTCATCACTCAACTCTTCATCAAACCTAGTAGTAGGGAACGAGCCATCATCTTCACTATCATCCTCATCATCAAATAGTTGTATACTAGTGTCCACAGCATCTTCACTTAAGCTAACAGCCAGAATCCTGATCCTATTTTGTTCCCCTAGTTGTTGTTCACTCCCTCCTCCACTTTGACTGGTGCTAATCACAATCTTCTTTCTCTAAGCAGTTGTCCTAGGTAATCTCTTTTGAAAAAAGGCTGACACTCTAGAAGATGTAGAAGAATCACCCTCACCTGAATTAGCCTTAGTCCCAAACTCACCTATGTTTTACAAGGGAGGAATCAAAGATTGGGTTTGTGGTTGAGCTTGACTGTCTTGTGTGATGATGTCAAAGGGCATCTGGAAATCATTTGCATTTAGATCATTACTTTGGTCTGGTTCATCTGTTTGGTTAGGCTGGTCACTCTGCCAGGGAGTAGGGGAAATGTTGAACCATGTCTCTAAGGCATTCCCTCTTCCCCTCCCTCTGCCAGACCCTCTCCCTCTCCCTCTCTCTATTTTAGAATATCACCCTCTCCCTCTTTCATTCCCGCTTCCCCTCCCTCTACCCTTAGGTTGAGGGTTTGTTGCTAACTCTGCTTCCCTTTCAGCCCAAGTTTCATCTGGGTCATAATTTAGAATCTCAAGTCTAGTCACAATGTTTGAATTACCTAATCCCTTGACATGTCTATCAAATTCATCCTAACTAACAACTTCATCTTCCACAATCGCAGGTTGTTTTTTCTCTCTAGGTGTGAGTTTTTTCCTATTTCTAACTTATGGTTCGGCTGTTGACTTACCTACTAGTTCAACTACTTCCTTAGCTACTGGTTCAAGAACTGGCTTAGCTACTGGTTCACCTACTTGTTGCTTTCCAGCCATTAATTATCTTGCTGCTGCAAAAACCTTACTATATCTTTAACACCACATCCAACCCATATGTATATCTCCAATTTATCAGGCAAATTTGCAAACATCTTCATCAAATCAGCATCACTTTCAAGTTTAACATGCCTCATTTTATACACATACTAAAAAGATGGGTGTTTGGGGTGTTTCAACATTATTCTCCTTAGCTTTTTCCAAATACTCTACAACAAGGTCTATCAAGTTAACCTTGTCAACATCATCAACCAGAACAGACACATCAATACCCCTATATTGAAATTGTAGCACAATTTTATCAACCATTCTGCATCAATCAAACTAAAGAACATCTAACAAATAATTGTATAACAATTTGCCCTGAAATAGCATACCAGTCCAACAATAAACAAGCATTACCTAATATTCAACATCATATTCAACTTTAACAATTACCATCAACAATCGGATAAAATGAACCCATACCATCAACATCATTTCATATTCAACCCCAATGTACTTATAAAAAAACAGAGCATAGGAAAATTTTTACTACCCAAAAATACATACCTGACTTCAATTCAGTCTAATTAAATGGTGGTATTTTTCCCAAATAGCTCGAACTTTGATACCGATCGTCTTACCCTAACACGAATTCTAGAACCCGCAATTCACGAACAAAATCCCTCACACTATCTTCAATTTTCACTCAAATTGTGTTTAATTACCACTACCAACTACAAATAGTAACCCAGATCAAAGTTGCAAAAAAAAAAACCCTAGATTTTTCATGCAAAATTTCAATTATAATTTTGGAGAAGATGAGCAATCATCAATGTCAAAGGATGAAAGATGAAGAATGAAGATGAAGAGAAGTCTCAGCGTTTAAAATGATTTGACATATGTAGTTGGGGTAAATTAAATGGGGGTATTTTAGACATCAAACCTTTTTTTACTTAGAATAGTTAACCATTAAATGGGGGTAATTTAGACATCAAACCTTTTTTTACTTAGAATAGTTAACCATGGTTAATAAAATCCTAATTAAAATTAGTAATGTTACCAATGACTTAATTTTTAAAAATATAGTTCACCAAGGATAATAACTTTTTTTACAATTCACCATTGAGAATAATAAAAATTAGAGGCTTATCAATTCAAAGAGAATTTCCCATAATTATTTGACTCAAATTCGATTCACCGTGCATAGATGGGGAAAGATCGTGGAGTATGAGGGGAATGATATGTATGGAGAAAGCATGTAAGATTAAAGTGGAAAGTGTTATAGAAGAAAGTTGTGAGGTATGTAATGTATGGAAAATGATGTGAAAGAATGTGGAAAGCTATAGAAATTTCCAAAATGAGATAGACACCCAACTCGAATGACCGAAAGGACGACTCATGCATGAACCTAAGACATGGTCATGGTGTAAAAAAAGCATGTACAAAGTGTGTGAAGACTTGTGAGTGTAAGTGATATGTTCAAGACTCGTGTCATGACCATGTGACTAGACTCGATAAACGACTAAATTATGACCTTGGTTATTAATTAATTAATAAATTAGACTTGAAGCGAAGACCTGAGCAGAATACTGGACCATCGCGTGACCAATGGCACTGTCGCATTGCGTCAGCGCCATCACAGCACGATATCACTATCGCGTTGCGATGGGCCCTGACATTTCGCGTCACAAGCCAAACTTTCGCGTCAACATTTAAACTTCAGTTTGAACATGTTTCCAGTATTCCACTTAAAAAGGGTGAACCTAAAGTCGTGCTAAGTCATGTTAAGTCGAATATTATTACTTTAATAATCCGAGTTAATTAATTATTAATTATTTAAGCAAAATCTTTTAGTCATCAAATCAATTTATTTAGACTTACTATTAATCACAAGTCAAAAAAATGGTTAGCTTAATCACACATAGGTTATGCACAAGCAAAGGATGCACAAGTAATCAAGTAGTCACAATATGATGCAATGAGTTTGTAACCTAACCATGGCTCTAACTCTCTAAAGTTCAAGGATTATGGTAGTCAAAGAGGGTCCATGGTTATCAGTTCGGATACATCGCACAGAAGCCTTACCTTTAAAAGGGTTGGCGCATATGGATGAGACCCCTCAAGCTTAACTTGCTTCCATGGTTTGGCGAATTCACAAACCCGGATGTACCCTTCGTTGCACGGAGCGTTCGATTAGGTAGATGAAGCGTGAATTCCCAAGGACTAAAGCCACATGTTGAACACATATGGGTTTCAGATTAGAAGGAAAAAATTCAATCAAAAAGTAAAATCGGCCAAACAATACTCGAATCGGCCAAAATAATAAGGCGGGTTTTTGGCTCGGTATTGGAAGAACTCGATGTGAGAAAACAGTATCTATCGCGAGAAGATGGCATTGTCGCACCGCGATAAATTTATCTCATCGCGACAAGGTCATCGCACTGCGATGGAACTTGTTGTCTCGCAACAGTTCCTACATGCCTCGGCGGCTTTTTGTGTTCTCGGGGTTTTTCGATTTTTGTAGTATTTTTCCAATTTTAGTTGTGAAAGATATTTCCCAATTTTCCTACGTGTAAAAATCCTATGTTTTTAACGCATTACAGATGGTCTTTCCAATGCAGACCTTTTTATGCTTATGCAATAATGATAATCAAATTAAGCACATGAATATTTAGAACATTTTAACTTTCAAGTCTCATCCACTCATTCTAAATCAATTGCCAAAATAAATTTTAGGAACTAAAAATAGAAATCCTCCCTAGTGGAGTCGCAAAAAAACTATAGGGAATATTTCAAGCATCAACTTTGAGCCCAATGTGATCATGCATTTAAGCATGGTGGCGTCCAAAGAGAAGGAAGTTAGAGCAAAAGAGTCGCCAACAAGTTTTAGGAACTTGTAAGCCGTTCACGAGTTGAAGGTTACACCCTTCACGATCACAGAGATCGCTAACTCCATAGTGGTCCTGAACTATGACTGGATATTCGGGGATGAAAGTACAAATTCAACCTAAAAGAGATTGAACTTACCCTAAATAGACCTCTACCTTGTTCTTCTCATATTCATATGCGCTTTTCGATTAACATACAATTAATATATTAATCCTAAACTTGTTTAATTTATGTTGGTTGATTATTAATGCACAAATAAATATATTATTGGCGATCACTTGAATTAAAATCATATTAGCCTAATTTAAATTATTAATTATCTTATTAAGCGTGATTTAAAGTACAAATTCCCTTTTAACCTGCAAAAGAGGGCATGATCAAGCAATAACAATAATATACCAAGCAACACAATAATATTGACACAAAAATCATCATCATAACAATCTCATCAAAGCATAATAATATTAGCAAGATCTTAGGCATGATACTCACGAGATTAATAACAAATCCTAGCATGTCATTAAATAGTAAAGATCAAAGATTTAATCCTAACATGATACTAGGAATCAATAAAGGGATCTGAACATGATACTTGGAATCAATAAAGGCATCCTAACATGATACTAGAAATTACAAAAAATAATCTAAGCATGATTTCTACATCAAAAGAATAATTAAGTAATTAAATTACTTACTTTGATGTCTCGTATTTCTTTATATCAAAACAATACACACGTTAGTTACTTCAAGAACAATATTAAATGAAACAATTGAAATAATATCAATTGAA